AGCAACATAGGGCGCGGTCAGTACTTGGATGGGTGACCGCTTGGGAACAGCGCGTGTCCTTGCCTCTCTTTTCTTACTTTTTTGAATGTATATTTCACAAGTAATGGAGTTACTTAAAACTGGGATATAATTTGAAACATGTGAAATATTCCGGGTCCGATTACTCTTCCAATTTGGGGGTTACTAATTGCGAAAGTGGTGCCATAATGATTTTTATCCTTCGTTTTACTTACATGGTAGATGAAAGGTCTAAAATCTACAAATTGAAATGTATTCATAAATATACGGATAAATATACGGAAATAATTTTAGAAAAGTTGCATGCTTCTCTATTTTACCATGTACTGCTAATGCTGTTGGCTTTTTTTGATATTTTGGTATTATCTTTTGAAATATGATCAGTTTCCGTTTCATTACATTTTATGTCTATTGGATCTCCTTCATTTTCACTCAGAGGTTCAATACGATTGTGGCATTCCGCATTTGTCACACTGCTTTTGATTTTAGATTATTCGTTTCTTGTGTGTCCTGTATGTCCGTCATTCTCCGTTTTTTCGGATTTAACATTACTTTTTGAAAGTCCCTTAATCCTTTGTAGAAATCATTCTTTACGAAGTTAGTTAAATTATCCAATGCTATTGCATCCTTAAAATAAACGAGGAATTTCGCGATTTTCGGCTACATCGTGGGGACCTATGCGTGTGGAAAATATTCCGGGGCGATGGACAAGACTATAAGTACGAAGACCTTACCGGTCGTCTTTGCTTATGTTTTTACATACCCATAACTTTATCTATACTAGACAATTATCTGTGTTGATACACAAAACATTTTATAGATATTCAGCTCAGTTATATCTTACTTTAATGATCACAATGTAATTGATGCCATCATTGATTAATATTTCTATATTAGTGTTACATTATTTCTAAAGTATGCTTAAACTACGGTAATTTAATATTCAAAAGACCATCTTAACTTGCGAGTTGCACCAAAATGATCCTTTAAATACAATTAATTGTTCCCACTAAGAAATTGAACAGGTTTAAACTTCGAACATAAATCTTTCACTTCTTTTCTTCACTCATCCTAGTATAGCGTCAACCACGTTCGATGAATCTATAATACATATTACTGATTATGGGTGAACCCTGTCTGGACCTGATGTGATTGACAACCACCTCCACCACACAATAGTTTCTCATTTTCAACTTCTTACTGTTTAGTGGACATTTAATTCATTGAAATACAAGATAATCGGAAAATCCTAAAACCAAATATTTTGAAGCTCATAAATCGAACTCTCTCATAGAAGCTACCAGAATTTGGAAGCTAGTTCAGTATTTTATTTATATTAATATCACACACATGATTTTAAAGAGTAGTGTAAGAAACGAAGATGAACTTTAACGACTATCCCAATTTTAGACCAAACCTTCGTGTTTAACAGACGAACATATAAAACATGGAGGTCATTAAAAAACACTGTTGCAAAAATAATTATACGGAATGGATATTAGGTGTATTATTATTCGAACGGAAACCATAAGATGATCTAAATCTTAAACTTGTGAAAGAGGTGAGGAATTAAAATTAATTAGTGCATACTATTGTAAAACGGTTCGCTCCATTTACGCATTGAAAAAGTTTGTGGCCCTGAAAAGGGCCCTTGTTTTGTGTACGAAGAGTAGCTGAGAACCGGAAAAACAAATTAACCACCAAAGCCATAGAGAGTGCGTCCTTGACGTTTCAGCGCATAGACCACGTCCATGGCAGTGACGGTTTTCCTCTTGGCATGTTCGGTGTAGGTAACTGCATCACGGATGACATTTTCCAGAAAGACTTTGAGAACACCACGGGTCTCTTCGTAAATCAGGCCAGAGATGCGTTTAACACCGCCTCGGCGAGCCAAACGGCGAATAGCAGGCTTCGTGATTCCCTGGATGTTGTCACGAAGAACTTTCCTGTGACGCTTCGCTCCTCCCTTTCCCAAACCTTTTCCTCCCTTACCACGGCCAGTCATTTTCACCAATGATCCTGAATTGAAGATCTCTCGAAGAAATATTCCGTAGAACTGATGCAGTAGCCAGGATTCGAGGGGTATTTATCCTCACTCCTATTCGTATCCCCACCACTTACCAACTGGCAAATAAGCGTCGAGCTCAACAATCGGTCGAGTCTAAAAGGCAGTGACCAAAGTAGACGCTGTCATACTGCATTTGAGTTTTATGATGTAAAGGTCTATCGACGCTCAGTGAAAGAGATATTAGCTGAACATGGCTCGTACGAAACAGACTGCTCGCAAGTCAACTGGAGGAAAGGCTCCTCGGAAGCAATTGGCTACGAAAGCTGCACGTAAAAGTGCACCAGCTACCGGAGGAGTTAAGAAGCCTCATCGCTACAGACCAGGAACCGTCGCTCTGCGTGAGATTCGTCGCTATCAGAAGAGCACGGAGCTGCTCATTCGCAAACTGCCCTTCCAGCGATTGGTTCGCGAGATCGCTCAGGACTTCAAGACGGACCTTCGCTTCCAGAGTTCAGCCGTGATGGCACTTCAAGAAGCTAGCGAGGCTTATCTCGTCGGCCTCTTCGAAGACACCAACTTGTGTGCCATCCACGCCAAGCGTGTCACCATCATGCCAAAGGACATCCAGTTGGCTCGCCGTATTCGTGGAGAACGTGCCTAAATACCGAAGGCATATAAAATAATAACGGTCCTTTTTAGGACCAACACTCTGTTATTTCGAGGAACATGCACATCCGTTTATACTCTGAGACGTTTCTAAATTCAATCCAAATATGCCCAGTAACATATATTTTACTGTACTTTAGCCGACATATATCTTACTTAATATTTTCATTATGCAGTAAATATTGTTTTTACTCTTAACATTCCTGAGGCCTGGTTGATTCCATATGAATGAATATTTTAGAGCTAATAACTTGCAAGTTAAATATTTTCCCCAGTATTCATAACTCTAGCAAGAGAACTTGTGTAATAGCGGAAACGTTTATTTTCTTTAATTTAGGGATTTTAAGGTTTATTCACTGATAAGTGATTGTCAAGTTCTTTTTCTACTTTAGTAACGGTTTTATGTTGAGAAACTAAACATTCTTAGTTCTGGAGCCTATGGTGGTCAATCATATTCTTTGACGTAATATTCTTCACTGCATGCGTTACCCTTAACTGGTCTTTTTTTAATCGTAATGTTGTTTTTCTCGAAGTCTGGACTAGGGATATCGATTCTTCCTAAAAAAAAATCGATTCGAATCGAACGTAACAGAATCGATTGACAATTAAATTGGGCACTAAATGATCGATTTCCCATTAACCGATTCTGTAGTCGATTTTAGAGTACATAATTATAGCATAATTGAAATGAAAAAATAAGAAACATTATTTCCAGCTTCCCTTTCTTCTTCAAAGTTCAAAAAAAAAACAGAAAACACAATCTTTGATCTCCGTTATTATTACCGTTAGAATGGTTAATAACGCCACCTGAATAACATAACGTTGCGTTCCAAAATAGCATACATACATCTTAAGGCATATTCCG